AAATTTTCTATAGAAAATGAGTCTCTTTATCAAAGAGAAAATTTTCTATAGAAAATGAGTCTCTTTATCAAAGAGAAAATTTTCTATAGAAAATGAGTCTCTTTATCAAAGAGAAAATTTTCTATAGAAAATGAGTCTCTTTATCAAAGAGAAAATTTTCTATAGAAAATGAGTCTCTTTATCAAAGAGAAAATTTTCTATAGAAAATGAGTCTCTTTATCAAAGAGAAAATTTTCTATAGAAAATGAGTCTCTTTATCAAAGAGAAAATTTTCTATAGAAAATGAGTCTCTTTATCAAAGAGAAAATTTTCTATAGAAAATGAGTCTCTTTATCAAAGAGAAAATTTTCTATAGAAAATGAGTCTCTTTATCAAAGAGAAAATTTTCTATAGAAAATGAGTCTCTTTATCAAAGAGAAAATTTTCTATAGAAAATAAGTCTCTTTTTCAAAAGAAAATTTTCTATAGAAAATTAGTATCTTTTTCAAAGAGAAAAGTTTCTATAGAAAATTAGTCTCTTTTTCAAAGAGAAAATTTTCTTTAGAAAATTAGTCTCGTTTTCAAAGAGAAATTTTGTGTTAAAAATTTGACTCTTTCACAGAGAATTCTGGTTCTATTGTTTCTCTCATAATATTAAAAAATCTTGATTTCTTCATTACCAACCACTTAGTGCTTTTTATTTAACTGTTAATTGGTAGACGTTTGACCTTTTCCTTTCGGTTCTTTCAATGGTTAATCTTAAAGCATGCACAATCAACCACATTTGGACGTTGTTTAATGTTTATTTAGACATTTATTTTTGAAAGCTAAAAACGGAATGAAAAATATTTGTTTGTTTAAATGATACTCTTTCACAGAGGCTGACAACAAGTACGAATGAAGAACGTTTTTATGAAGCACAGACTGTTTGTTGAAAGTTCATAAAAACACGATGTGGAAAGTATATTTAACCTTCAACATGGTGGTTTTTAATTTCGTTTAAGTTGTTTGTGTGTTTTTGATGTTTGACCACAAAAACCTTAAATCGTAGCCAAATATTTTTTAATTAAAAGATCAAACTACTATAAAGATTTAATATCCTGTAAAGTTAATATTTTATGTTATTGAACAGTTTTTTTTTATTTTTATCTATTTTTTTTACTGCGACTCAACTTAAATGCCTACAGAAATTGCAACGTCATTCAATTATGCCGCTAACTATTAATTTTATCTATGAGTTTCAATGTCAATCAATCAATTAAACAATAACGAAACCAAATGATAATGTATTCGCTCTTTATCAGCAATTTATCTTCATTATTATTATTTTTTACTTGAACTTTGATTGCAATCTGCCATAAATTTGTTTGTTTCATACAAATCCATCTTCGTAATCATCATCTAACATACACACGTAATATTTTTTTAAGTGTAAATATCTGTTTCCTATGAAAAATTATAAATATGTTTATAAATCATCATTATATTTGTTTTATTTTTCTCTTTACAAGCTTGAGATTCATTGTACTTTTGCACCTTTTGGTTTATTTATATTTTATGATGATTAAATATGTTTACACATTCATTCATATACATATTTATATTTATTTTATAACAAGTGGCACGTGCTAAACAACCATAAACGTTTATTAGCGAATACATATTTGTATTAAATTGTTTTTACTTTTACAACAAAATTCTTGCACTTGAAACAGGTGCTTTTTATAAAAATTATCATTTGTATCTGAACGATTACTCGGGAGGTTAAGGTTTATAATATTTGAACTGTTTAATGATTAATAGCACGTTTTTTACTAAATAAAATTAACAAAACTACTACAGATATTGTTCATATTATAATTACTATGATACTATAACAAATTTTTGTCTTTCTTAAAGAGAATAAAATTTCATCTTTTGTTAAAGAGACACATTTTCTATAGAAAATTTTCTCTTTTGTTAAAAAGAAACATTTCTATAGAAAATTTTCTCTTTTGTTAAAGAGACACGTTCTCTATAGAAGATTTTGTCTTTCGTTAAAGAAATATATTTTCTATAGCATTTTTTTTAAACAGACACATTTTCTATAGAAAATTTTCTCTTTTTGTTAAAGAGTACAATTTTCTATAGAAAATGTTCTCTTTTTGTTAAAGAGTACAATTTTCTATAAAAAATTTTCTCTTTCTGTTAAAGAGTACAATTTTCTATAGAAAATTTTCTCTTTTTGTTAAAGAGTACAATTTTCTATAGAAAATTTTCTCTTTTTGTTAAAGAGTACAATTTTCTGTAGAAAATTTTCTCTTTTTGTTAAAGAGTACAATTTTCTATAGAAAATTTTCTCTTTTTGTTAAAGAGTACAATTTTCTATAGAAAATTTTCTCTTTTTGTTAAAGAGTACAATTTTCTATAAAAAATTTTCTCTTTTTGTTAAAGAGTACAATTTTCTATAGAAAATTTTCTCTTTTTGTTAAAGGGGACAATTTTCTATAGAAAATTTTCTCTTTTTGTTAAAGAGTACAATTTTCTATAGAAATTTTTCTCTTTTTGTTAAAGAGTACAATTTTCTATAGATAATTTTCTCTTTTTGTTAAAGAGTACAATTTTCTATAGAAAATTTTCTCCTTTTGTTAAAGAGTACAATTTTCTATAGAAAATTTTCTCTTTTTGTTAAAGAGTACAATTTTCTATAGAAAATTTTCTCTTTTTGTTAAAGAGTACAATTTTCTATAGAAAATTTTCTCCTTTTGTTAAAGAGTACAATTTTCTATAGAAAATTTTCTCTTTTTGTTAAAGAGTACAATTTTCTATAGAAAATTTTCTCTTTTTGTTAAGAGTACAATTTTCTATAGCAAATTTTCTCTTTTTGTTAAAGAGTACAATTTTCTATAGAAAATTTTCTCTTTTTGTTAAAGAGTACAATTTTCTATAGAAAATTTTCTCTTTTTGTTAAAGAGTACAATTTTCTATAGAAAATTTTCTCTTTTTGTTAAAGAGTACAACTTTCTATAGAAAATTTTCTCTTTTGTTAAAGAGTACAATTTTCTATAGAAAATTTTCTCTTTTTGTTAAAGAGTACAATTTTCTATAGAAAATTTTCTCCTTTTGTTAAAGAGTACAATTTTCTATAGAAAATTTTTTCTTTTTGTTAAAGAGTACAATTTTCTATAGAAAATTTTCTCCTTTTGTTAAAGAGTACAATTTTCTATAGAAAATTTTCTCCTTTTGTTAAAGAGTACAATTTTCTATAGAAAATTTTCTCCTTTTGTTAAAGAGTACAATTTTCTATAGAAAATTTTCTCTTTTTGTTAAAGAGTACAATTTTCTATAGAAAATTTTCTCTTTTTGTTAAAGAGTACAATTTTCTATAGAAAATTTTCTCTTTTTGTTAAAGAGTACAATTTTCTATAGAAAATTTTCTCTTTTTGTTAAAGAGTACAATTTTCTATAGAAAATTTTCTCTTTTTGTTAAAGAGTACAATTTTCTATAGAAAATTTTCTCTTTTTGTTAAAGAGTACAATTTTCTATAGAAATGTTCTCTTTTTGTTAAAGAGTACAATTTTCTATAGAAAATGTTCTCTTTTTGTTAAAGAGTACAATTTTCTATAGAAAATTTTCTCTGTTTGTTAAAGAGTACAATTTTCTATAGAAAATTTTCTCTGTTTGTTAAAGAGTACAATTTTCTATAGAAAATTTTCTCTGTTTGTTAAAGAGTACAATTTTCTATAGAAAATTTTCTCTGTTTGTTAAAGAGTACAATTTTCTATAGAAAATTTTCTCTGTTTGTTAAAGAGTACATATTTCCTCTTTTGTTAAAGAGATTAATTTTCTATAGTATTTTTTCTCTTTTGTTAATAACAACTTCTCCTTTTTAAAGAGTAGAATTTTATATAGAACGGTTTTACTTCGTTAAAGAGTTTATATTTCTATAGAACAGTTTCTCTTTGTTAAATAGTGGAATTTTCTATAGAATAATTTCTATTAGTTAAAGAGTACAAGAGAGAAAGAGACTAATTTTATATAGAACGGTTTTACTTTGTTAAAGAGTTTAAATTACTATAGAACAGTTTCTCTTTGTTAAATAGTGGAATTTTCTATAGAATAATTTCTCTTAGTTAAAGAGCGGAAATGTTTATAGAACAGTTTATCTTTGTTAAAAAGATGAATTTTTCTATAGAACAGTTTTTCTTTTCTAGAGAGTGTAATTTTCCAATGAACGGTTTTTCTTTGTTAAGGAGCTAAATTTGTTAAAGGGTGAAATTTTCTACCAAAAATATTCTGTCTTTTGAGATAAAGAGAACAGTGGCATACTTTTAAAATTCATTTTATTCTATTCTAAAAGCTTTAATAGCGTAATTGAATTCAAATATATATTTAATGAATTCTTTTATCTTTGTTTATCCTTTATATTTCCTCTAACTGTATTTTCAATAGCTTAGTTATTAATAAGGATTTCAGTTGTTATAAATCTTTTAATCCTTTAATAATGAAATTTTAGTTTCCATAAATCAGTCCATCAAGTTTCTCTCTCTATCACAAACAAAGAGCCCACAATTACAAAATTCTCTAATAATGAAAATGGCAACAACAAGCTAAAATTAAATTTTGGTGGGGGGCTTCTGTTACCATCGACGTTCTAAGAATCAATAATAGCAACATAAAACCTTAAAAATTTCAGGAAGGATGTGGGATTGGCAAAAAAATTTAAACACATATCCACAAAGGAAAACACAAAATGAACTGTAACATAAAAACCGCAATACTCTTGCCAATATGATGCCCTCAACACATGTAAACATGAAAATTTCAAACTTTGAGTTTATGAAATGTTGAACAGACGTTTAAAAGAATGTATAATACGTAATGAGTTAAACTATAAGCGGCTTTAGTTATATGATGTAAATTTATTACACCATATTTAGGTAGTATTTAAGACAAAAACCATAAACCCTCTTTATGTATTAGTAAGGACAACAATCACTTAACATCCACAATTCATTTATATATTGTTTTTCTCTTCCAGTTTCATTCCTCAACACCAACTCAACTCGCAATTATTGTTATACAAAATGGATATTGTTATACGTGAAGAAGACATTTCCTTGGGACAAGTAGGCATCTATGCCTCCTTATCATTTTTAGTGGTTTCTGTCTTGGGTTTGGGATTTTATGCCACTTGTTCAAGAAAATACCGTTTGAATTGGTTTGAGAAAAATCTATTAGAATCAGCGAACAACAAAGATGAAGAAGCTGACTGTAGAGATGCCCTAGTGGCAACGGCTTCTGGTTATAATGTCGACAATATCAGCGAATGTTCACGTTCTATAGCGAAGGGCAATGTTACTCCCACCTCCATTAATACCGATGATCCCACATTTTGGGTGCCACCACCTTCGAAAACCATACAACAACAGGTTTCTACATCGGCCGATGAATCACCACCCTCAACACCCACCTCTCCAACTGGCAGCTTGAAATCGAATACTTTATCGATGTCATCTTGTAATTCCGTGCCTATAGCTCGTTCCGACAAACATGTGGTTTTAGCTATGAATCCTACACGTCCCAAGGTTTCATCGATGAATGCCAAGTTGGATCACACCAAAATCGATATGGCTTTATATAGAACGGTTAATATTATTTTGTAATAATTTGTTCTTTAAATATCTATTTTAATTATCGCTTTCTATTACAGAACTCTTTACAAAAGGGTCCCAATCCTACCGAAGATCCTAAGGGCAGCATTCATGTTAGCATAGTTTATGATCCTCATGCTGGTATTTTATCAGTCCGTTTAATAGAGGTTTGTTAATTTTTCCTAATGCTATAAAAAAGTGTTGTGTAACATACTGTTTACTTTTTAGGCTCAAAACCTTCAGCCCCGCGATTTTAGTGGCACAGCAGATCCTTATGCTAAAATTCGTCTATTACCAGAAAAGAAAAACTTCTGGCAAACTCGTATACACAAGAAGACTCTCAATCCAGGTTAGTAAAATGTAGCATGTCCGCTTTGATTTATTTCATTTGAGATTCTTTAAGGTCCATAAGTTAAATTTCCTCAAAATCTCTTCTAGCATCAGTTATTGATGGAATGCTTGAAATATTAGAGAATGGTTTCCAAAATGAATGGTCCTCTGAAATTTAGTCACGGCTCCCCTTTAGGACCCGTTTGCGATTTATATATAAGTTTTCTTTTTAATGATCATTATCGTCATAGATTTAAACAATCCAAAGGAATTAAAATGGAATCATTACTTTCACCAATGTTCCTTATTAAAACAGATATTTAAAAATGACGTTGATCATATTTAGACAGATTATCACTTCACAGCCTAACCAGCCCTACAAATATAGGCAAATCTACTTAAGGGTAAGACTGAGCTGAACAGTGTACATTGCGACGACTTAATCTCAGTTTACACTGACGGTTTAGTAATTGCTTTGGGTACTGATCATATTACCAAGGGTCTGAGTGGTTTTTATACCCACCATCAAAAAAGACGAGGGGTATATTGATTTTGTGATTCCGTTTAAAACACATAGACCCACAAAAGTATATATATATATTCTGTGTCCGAACAGAATAAGCAAGAGGGTTGAAATTTTCCACAATTATTCTCTATAGGTAATTTGGTATTGAAAATGGGCAATATTTGTCCACTTTTTCGGATAGGCCCAATACAAGTGGAACAACGACAAACAGCTTTATCGGCCATATCTGTTTAAAAGGTACGAGTATACCGATGAAATTTTATATGGATCAGTCCATAATTAACTCTATCCCTTCTATATAAAGTCCCCTTAAGAAAATGACTTTAACGTTCATGCTGTCCTAAAATACGAGAATAGCGATGAAATTTGACATAAGTAAATCTCTTACGAGCCAAAATCCCCCTACAAAATTTTATGTGGATTGGTCCATAAGTGACCTTTTCCCCCTATAAGGTCCCCTTCTGAAAATTACTTTAACGCTATTTATTGGCTTAAAAGTACTAGTATAGAGGTGAAATTCGCCAGAGATAAGTTTCATATATGTTAAAGTCTCCCTATAAAATTTTGTAACGATCGGTTCATACCCCCAATAAAAGGACCCCTTCAGAAAGTGACTTTAACGTCCATTAATGGCTTAAAAATACGAATATAGAGCTCCCCTTCAGAAAATTACTTTAAAACTCATTACTGGCTTACAAATATGAGTAAAGCGATGAAATTCGACACATATGTATAAGTTTTATACGAGTTAAAACCTCTCTACCAAATTTATTGAGGATCGGGCCATAATTGACCCTAGCCGCATATAGGGTTCCCTTCAGAAAATTAATTTAACGATCATCGCTGTTTTAAAAATACTTGTACAGTTATGAGATGTGATATAAGGAACTTTTATAGGAACGTAAATCTTCCCACCGAATTTCATGCGGAAGGTGTAGGTAACTGACCACACCCGCGCATATAAGGCTCCCATCAGAAAATTACTTTAACGCTAATTACTGGCATAAAAATTCCAGTACAGCGATAATGGAAGTTTTTTTATAAGAATAACCAAGTCGATGATGATTTCGCCGTTCTACGGTGGTTCTCTCGGATTCTCTCAAATTTGGAAAATAGGGTCAAAATAGTCTATGAGTTTCGAGTATTTTCATTAAATTTATGACCATCATGTATTTTTGCTCTCTAAAGTAGCGTACAAGTTCTCATTTTCTTTGCCCTAAGGTTACCGAGTTTGTCCTTTCAAGATCCCGTTTCTAGTATGCAGTTTGATATTGTAGAGGAAAAGTTTTCGCGTAATTGGTAAAAACAACATGGCCTTAGGCTAGGTCGCGATTTTTCTGCATAAGTGGAACTTGGGAAATTAGTTACTATTCAGAAGTGTCGAAAACCGTCCAGCCTGTTTAACGACGTGGGGTTTTCACTTTTCACTAACGAAATTTTGAAACGTAGTCCAATGATAAAGTTCTATTATGTTTAAGTTGATAAAAAAGTTGCTAAGAATTCAGCTGCCGGCCTATTTGGGAACCGATACTGTACATTATAATCAATATAATTTAAATTAACATACATTTACTTTCCATTTCCCTTACAGTTTTCGATGAAGATTTCGTTTTCGAAGAAAATCCCAATGCCATTGATAAACGTACCATAGAAATTTTACTCTACGATTTTGATGCCTACTCCCGACACGTTTGCATAGGAGGGGCTCAAATACCATTGGCTAATTTGGACTTGACTAAGAAGGAGAAATTCTGGACACCCTTGGGAACATGTGCTGAACAAGTAAGGAATATAAAAAATAACAAATTGACATAAAACCTTAAAAAACATATATTTATTTAGGACATGAAAGTGGATTTAGGAGATGTTATGATTACTTTGGCCTATTTACCCTCAGCAGAACGTTTGACGGTGGTGGTAATAAAGGCTAGAAATTTGAGAATTGTAGATGATTCACGCAACTCCTCAGATCCGTATATAAAGGTTACACTAATGGTACCGGGTAAAAAGAATAAAAAAACGCAAAACGGCCGTTATACGCAACAATATTAATCCAGTGTATAATGAAGCCTTAACATTTGATGTCCATAAAGAGGCTTTGAAAAATGCCACCATAGAATTACAGGTGGTACATGATGGTTTATTGGGTAAGGGCAGAGTGAGAAATGATTCTTTTTAATTTGATTGATTTGTTGCTTCTTTTCTTAGGTTCTAATGAAATCTTGGGTAGAGCTATTATTGGTGGCGGACCAGATGTTCGTCCAGATGAGAAAATTTTCTTTGAAGAAATGTTCCGCTCTAAAAATGCCACTGCCCAATGGGTGCCACTGCAAGATGTTAACAATGGTCGCACTAACAGTGGAAATTAAAGTGGAATTTGTTGACATGGTTTGTGTCTACACTAAAATGGTTTCTAACTTAACTCAAAACAAACATAGAATACCTACCACTCTTTGTTGTCCAATACAGTTTGAAAGTCTTAGCATTGCTTTAGTGCGCTGCTGCTAATGAAATTACTGTTAAATAACATTTTAACAAACCTTTAACAAGAGTTTGTTAAACATTACTGTTAACTTAGATTAACAGTGTTTGTTTTTGTCTTTTCTCCCCTAAACAAACTAAGAAATTGTTAGACCAGAGAAAAACTTAAATTGTTACCAAAATATAAAGGATTTTTGCAGGGATCATAAATTAATTCAAGAGAATAATTATAAATTTAAACTTAAAACAATTATTAAATGTGCTTTAAAACTCGAAAAATTTGAAAAAAAAAAAAAATGATTTAAATTAATGGAAAAAGAAAACTATTTGAAATTTTTATAAATTATAAATATAATTGATTTTTTGCTATTGATGTTTATAAACAATTATTAACTAACACATACATCCATAAATATTATATAGATGTTTTTTATGTAGTAGTTTAACATACATATATAAAAATGAATTTAACAAGAGATTTTGTCTACATGTCCATAAGTACCTAAAATAGTAAAACTTCTTTGTAACTTTAAAATCAAATCGAACAGTATTTTGCCAGTATATTCTGATTTATATAATTGAGAAGGAATTTAAATCAAAATAAAATTGTAACAAGATTTAAACAAATATTTGCCAGTACTTAAGTATGACTACAATAATTATAGATATTTTATAAAATGGATATCTTATATAACAATTGAATTGACTATATATATACATATATATAACTACGTTAATACTACAAGTACACATACACACTTATTTAAATAAATATTTAAATAAAAAATACCAAGAAAATATTCATACACTAAATTATATATTATAAATGTTACAATTAGTATTAATATTTATTTAAATAAATTCGTATGAAAAATATATATATTTGATTTTGTTTAATTACGAAGTAATTCAAAAGGTAATTTTGCAAGTGTCACAATTCAATATTTAAACAATCACACAACACTTTCATCCGATATATTTAAGATAAAACTAACGAAAATATTCTCTCTAGAGAGAGTACTTGGCAAACAATGGTTTCAAACACACCCTTCACGTCCCGAAAGGAATTCAAACAATAGTCGTTTAAGTCAAAAGGCTACAAGGAATGACTCCCAGGAGCCTAATAACTCCTTCTCTTTCCCCCCAAATTGCTATAATAACAAGATGATGTCGATTAACGAAGGTAAAATGGCCCGTGGGATCAAGAGATTCAACAGTTTGCAACAAATACTTCACCATTTCAAACAAATTATAGTCAATACATATTATTTGTATCAATATTTGTCGCAAAATGCCAGGTTTTAAGCAATTTCATCACTTTCTTAAGTCTTCCATCTATTCTTACTTATATCACATACTCATTGTTAGTTACTTTGTCTTTTTTGGTTTACTAATAGTTTTGACATTATGAGCAGCAAGACGGACAACTGGTCGACATTAAATGGTTTAAAACAATGCCAAAGCTTTATTACATTGTTTCGCCTCTTTTAGTTTGTTTTAAAAAAACTCTTAATACGTTGTAGTTATGTTTGACTTCAAATTGTGGATAAAGTGCTAAAATTGAAAAAGAACTCAAGCGAAGTTTTATTCAATTTATACAATCTGTTAGTAAGTCCAGTTGCAATCTTTTCAATGCCGGTTTTTGTTTTTATACTTTCTTTCACAATGTTTTGGAAAGGAAAATATAAATTCCAAAAAAATGTATCTCGTGTAAACGAATTTTGTCTGAAGACAAGCCCTTTAGCTAAACCTTAATCCATCGAAGGACATTTTGAAGTGAAACATACACTTTCAAAAATACGTTTGCTAGTAGTGGTTGCCGAAAAAGGAATGAAACGTTGCACAGTGGTGTAAAGGGAGCAACTAAAAGTTTTTAATTACTAACTAACTAACTAACTAACTAACTAACTAACTAACTAACTAACTAACTAACTAACTAACTAACTAACTACTAACTAACTAACTACTAACTAACTAACTACTAACTACAACTAACTAACTAACTAACTAACTAACTAACTAACTAACTAACTAACTAACTACTAACTAACTAACTAACTAACTAACTAACTAACTAACTAACTAACTAACTAACTACTAACTAACTAACTAACTAACTAACTAACTAACTAACTAACTAACTAACTAACTAACTAACTAACTAACTAACTAACTAACTAACTAACTAACTAACTAACTACTAACTAACTAACTAACTAACTAACTAACTAACTAACTAACTAACTAACTAACTAACTAACTAACTAACTAACTAACTAACTAACTAACTAACTAACTAACTAACTACTAACTAACTAACTACTAACTAACTAACTAACTAACTAACTAACTAACTAACTAACTACTAACTAACTAACTAACTAACTACTAACTAACTAACTAACTAACTAACTAACTAACTAACTAACTAACTACTAACTAACTAACTAACTAACTAACTAACTAACTAACTAACTAACTAACTAACTAACTAACTAACTAACTAACTAACTACTAACTAACTAACTAACTAACTAACTAACTAACTAACTAACTAACTAACTAACTAACTAACTAACTAACTAACTAACTAACTAACTAACTAACTAACTAACTAACTAACTAACTAACTAACTAACTAACTAACTAACTAACTAACTAACTAACTAACTAACTAACTAACTACTAACTAACTAACTAACTAACTAACTAACTAACTAACTAACTAACTAACTAACTACTAACTAACTAACTAACTAACTAACTAACTAACTAACTAACTAACTACTAACTAACTAACTAACTAACTAACTAACTAACTAACTAACTAACTAACTAACTAACTAACTAACTAACTAACTAACTAACTAACTAACTAACTAACTAACTAACTAACTAACTAACTAACTAACTAACTAACTAACTAACTACTAACTAACTAACTAACTAACTAACTAACTAACTAACTAACTAACTACTAACTAACTAACTAACTAACTAACTAACTAACTAACTACTAACTACTAACTAACTAACTAACTAACTAACTAACTAACTAACTAACTACTAACTAACTAACTAACTACTAACTAACTAACTAACTAACTAACTACTAACTAACTAACTAACTAACTAACTAACTAACTAACTAACTAACTAACTAACTACTAACTAACTAACTAACTAACTAACTAACTAACTAACTAACTAACTAATATATTTCGATTGTAGTCTACAGCACTTACGTTAGGAGGTTATATTAAGTTTGTATTGATCACAATCCTCATTTTCTCAGTCGGTTTAGCTATGTCCATCTGTCCGTCTGATCGTCCGTCCATGTAAACCTTCTAATCAAACTACAGGTCACAATTTTGAAATCAATTTTATTGGTATATTACATTTATCAAAAGAATAACATTTATCACCACTTCACAATTAGTATAATAAGAATTTTGTGACCTCAATTGCCTCTAGCCCCCATACGAAGACCCCTTTAGGAAATGACTTAAATATCTACACTTCGCTTAAAAACTTTAATGTCACGATTTATTTTATGATGATCGGTCCATATTTCCCCAAGCCC